AAGACACTGGCTAACACGCCAATCATCCCCCACCCCCAATAAAAAATACTTTTCTACACCACTGAGCTCATGATAAGACACACGGTACATATTAACGCTCATATTGGAAATGGTTCGGCGGTGGGGTGCTGACGTTTTAAACGTGCACACATACTGTAGGCATAGGCCTATATCTGTAGTAAAACAGTCACGGTTAAGATGGCACATCATTGCTTTCCACCCCCGCAATGAAATACTGTATACATTATCAAGCAGAGCATTTATCTCCTCGACCTTCCACTGCACTGCTGACCTCTCGGGTATACAATACAGTACGACGAAAAGCCTTGATGTTGCATTCCAGAAATATATAAAAAATGTACCATAATGTTGGAAAGTGAAGTTAATTTGGAGACATATCTTTGGATATCGTTTTTAAGTAATAATAATGTCCTCACTAATATATTTACGATGCGAAAATTGATTGATTCAGCCATATGGTATCTGAACAAGCTAGGCCTAAATGCAGCGAAGCAAAAGATCACAAAGGGCGCCATTGCTGAGACCTTCTCAAATAGTTAATGTCTCACATCGTGCAGGACGATCCCACATTTTAATGAGATTTTGGATGAAACACGCATTTTGCATAAACATGCGTGACCATAAATTTGTCACGCATTTTAACAAAGTCTGCGTGATAACGAATTATCCCGAATTCAGGGGAAATTTATTTAAAAATTAGAAGAAACCGGTTGTTTTTAAATATAAAAACGGTCCTGCAATAATTTGAGTCATTAGAAGACTTTCGTTCTCGTTCGAGAATCAATTCACCGAGAAAATTTCTCCTTCTCAACCAAAACAACCCAGTCAACCACGCACCCTCTGGTGGCCCGTCCCCCTAGCCAACTGATGTATAGTCACGCATTTCAAATCTCTCTGAGGTTGGTAACCATGCTCTCCGTGTCCCTCACCCCCGCGCAGGTTTATGTTACGTGTTATGTCGTGGCAAGTCTAATATAGACTACAAGGACAGCAAAAAGATGGTACTTTCCATACGGTATGTACTGTACAGTACAGTACGTACAATTCCAATATTCACATTTATAGCAGACGATGAGTGAGAATCTCCCACCGTGTCTCTCAGCTACGGCGCCGGATCGACAGAGGGAAAATAATCACTAAGTAAATGAATTGGTGTATATACTGTAATTAATGCCAGGAGGACAGTTTTCATAAAGCAAAACATCCAGAATTGAAACATCCAGAAGTCGTCCAATCAACATACGTATTGCATGCATTTCAGGACAAGATGTACTTGTGGTTTATACGTGGATCATCCTTAAAATAAGGAAGTGTTTATTCTTCCGACATGCTAGCAGCCATGTGCATTAAGAAAGCAAAACTTGGGTTTATGGTTAGGGTTAAGCCAGTTCCACCAATCAGCTCCTTCAATCAGCACCTCGTAAAATCCAAAAAAAAAAATCATAGCCTAAAACTAAAACCTGGCCAAACCAGATACAGCATGTTTTTTTTTAAAGGATTTTACCAAGTTTGTTTAAAAAGGGAAAGGCAATTTATAATAACCTTTTAAACAATTAGGCCTACTATGCTTTATAAGCAAAAATATGATTGATAAACAAATAAAAAAAATTATTAGCTATATGAACGTAGTAAAATGACTTCTGAAATAAAACAAATACATTACAACAATTTTCTCATATAAATCTACCTATATTTGGAATATGATGCAACATTCGAAAAAAATCAATTTTTACTCTACCCATTATATCTAGATGTTGGACTAAACTACAGGTATATTCAACATTAAACAAAACACCTATTATTTTGGGTACTGATTTTTCTTTTGTAATTTATTTACTATTAATTGGTGGTAACAGTATTTTAATACAAAGTCATAACCTATCTTGGCCCAGAAATGTTTGCATGTAGGTATGCCTACTGTACTATCACATAACCCTAATATATACACTGTGGTACTATTAATAATAGAAATAGCTAGACGAACAAGCCCACAAGAATGCATGCAGGAACATCACTGCCACCAATTCAAAATGATATATATCATGCAAAATCAGGCCTAGCAAACAAGCAAATATAAAACGGAATCACAGATTAAAACAATGTTTTAATTATAAAAGTTTGAAAATGTATGGATCATCATTAAAGCTTAGTTCCAACAACTATTCTTGACTGAAAATCATGGTTGCTTCACAATCGGCCGCAAAACAACACACATAAAGAGAACTATAGTATAGCAATTCCATTGTTGCTCAACATAGCAGTAAACAGTATTAAAATGTGCATTCTGTAAGTCTATTATTGTCATCCATTACAGTATAGTGAACTGCCAACTGATCTCTGTACAGCAGCGGTAAATCCGATTCTGATTTCCATTTAATTTGTATTGTTGATACTTGCCGATGCGGATGCTGACACGTAGGGTATCCAGTAATTGTAGTCGGAGTAGCTTGAAATCTGTATTAAAATAGAAACGCACCTTGTTAACGCACTAGCCAACATCGGCGTAAAAAAATGGGCGCGGCTCAACGATAATTACAATTCATGGAATGCAATGCACTGTCGGTCGTAAAAATGTCGAGGTTTTCTCTTGTGCATATTATGCAATCGGTGATGTACTGTATTGACTTTCACCTGATGATACGTACGTTCTTAAATACAGATAATAATACAGGATAATCTAGTAATAATAATGATACAGAAGAGTAGCTTGGTATAATACAGAAAGAAGGAGATGAGGTCATTCGGTTCGACAGCAGATGTTCCGTGGTGGTACTGTGTATAGTACTGTATATCAATTTGCATTTGTAATTCATGAATAATACTAATAGCCGCTGTTGAGTATACATTATACTAATCCACACCATCCATTGTAGTAGTACAGTAGTAGTAATAATAGAGTATGATTTCGATAATGCAACAATGTACGTTTAGGCGAATATTTTTATTATAGTAGAATGCTCTATATACGTGGCATAAAAATTAATTGTTGATGTGAACTTCATCATTTGAACACTTGCCAAATCTCCCAACTCGTAATCCAATATTCGGCATTTTTTGCAACGCTGACGGGTAAATATTGAAAAGCAAACAAAAAAACACACACACCTATGTACGTGCAATTGATTCCCCTGCTCCGAGTGGTGTCTGGACCTGCATCTCCTGGGCTTCTTGGACTAGTGCACAAATAGCACAGCAACATACAGCAAACAGATCGCCAACTATACCTCCTTCGATGCCTTTATTTTCCCTCACTTTCTGTCGAGTAGTTACACGGGCGTAGATGTTCACTAATGGAACGAGAAGAGCAAGACCACAGAGAAGACAGTCATCCCCAACGGATTCGGCTAGTTTTCCCTGAGTGTAGCATGGCACAACGTATGTGAATATACACATGCCGATGTTTCCAAAACAACCGAAGAGACCATTTTGAAATTCACCCATTTTTTGGTAATAGTTAACGTCAAGACACAGTAAAATTATATATTACCTAACAGTAACAGTTTAAAAACTACTGGCTTGGTAGTGTGTGAAACAACGCTGAACAACTGATGAATATATGGGCGTCGACTAGAGCGTCACAGCGTAACACGAGAATATGTATGACCTTAAAACAGACTCGCGACCAATGACGTTCATTCGGGATTTGACGTCATCAAAGAAAACAAAATTATGCAGCTACAATAATCAAGGGAGACATGAGATCCTGGACATTTCAAGGGTACTGTAACTGAATAGTTTTTTCAGCAATACTCAGGTTCAGGTTTTGTTGTAAATTATTTTAAAATCGCTGGTGGGGGGTTAGTTAGAAAAAAAAAACTAGGCTCCTGTCCTGGAAAGAAGGGTCACGGGAAGGTAATAATTGGTGTCAGTGTAATTTATGCCAAAGTGGTGACATTTAATATATCCGTCATTGTTTGTATACTGTAAATCATTTGATACAATCAGAGAGCAGGCGTGGATCCAGTAGGGTACACGGGATGGGAGGGGGGCTGTGATAACATTGATGATAACATTCAACTTGTGTTTTCCTTCTACTTAAGTTCTTATAATATTTGTTGTTTTTTTTATTAGTTTAGTGACTGTGCTAATTATTTGTGTACTGCCACCGATTTAAAAGTGAAAAGTTAAATAATAATAATGATTATTATTATTAAATTTCCTACAGACTACTGGGTGAACTGGTACAAGGGTACGTAAGACATAATCCGAAGACAAACTCTAAAGTGTCTTGTAGGCCGAAGACTCTAAATTCTTACTCAAACCAGGGTCGCGCCCAACATAATCGTGTCGGGAAATGGAGAATAGATTATCATGGACAGGAGTATATATTTCATAAGCTAGCACGTATATGTTTGTGCGTCCTGTTTTGTGGTGTGTGTGGTGTATAGTTTCCTGAATATATACACAATGTGCGTACACTTCTGTTTTTTATATATAAAATCCAGTAAACTTTGTCCAGACTCAGTGTTCTTACGGTCCTACCTTTTCTGTCTTTTCTTTTGTAAATTTCAGGCTGATGATCTTCTTATTTTGTTGTTATTTTACACATTTTTTAAAGATAGAAACATAAAGTACAGATAAGACCAAAACAATTAGGCCTATAGCATAACCTTTTAAAGCATTAATACTTTAGTGTACGTTTTATACTAGTTCGATTTGTTAGTTTTTCTGGTTGTTTTTAATTAATACATTCAGAGGTGCTTGATTATTCACATGTGGGCCTTTTCTTGCCGTCACCGGAAACTTTATCTCATTTTTATTATTTTTTTGCCAGTGTAAAGTCGAATAAATAAATAAATATGATGAATTTGACATTTTACCTCAACATAAAATATTATTTTCTCTTTCTTTTTTTCTCAATTTTGTTTCCGACCAAAAATTAGGCGGGTGACTGGCCTTTAATCAGCCGTATAGCTGACCATGTAGACAAAACTAAAACATTGGAATTCATTTTCCATCTTTTCTCTAGGCCTATATCTATTTTGTTAGGCTGTGTAAAACTGTTTTCCTCTGTATTTTATCGCTGACGTTGGCCTATATATTATTATTATTATGATTATTAATGGGGTGGGCGTGATAGGGAGAATGGGCGAGGCAGGTGTATATCCCTATCTATGGTGTTGTGGCAATTATTTCCTGCATACTTCTGGGTGCACTGGTGCAAGAATACGTAAGACAGGATCCGAAGATAGGCTCTTAAAGAGTCTGGTTGTAGGCCGAAAACTCTAAACTCCTGGGTTCGGACCCAAACCAGGGTCACGCCCAATATAATAGTGTCGCGGGGAATGGAGAATAAATATCATGGACAGGTGTATTCCATAAGCTAGCACGTCTGTGCGTCCTGTTTTTGTGGCGTGTGTGTATATACAGTTAATTTAGTATACAATAGTTTCCTACATTTTCCTAAGATTTTAACCAATTTTTCAATTTCACATAATGTTCTACAGGCCTAACATTTAGTTAGACAACGTCTTGAAATGAGGGCAGCATTCCATTCTTAATGCGTTTCACTCTAATAATAATATTTATTTGACATTTCACTTTTGCAACAGTGGCAGGACACAAGAAAGTGGCGCAGGCTTACTTAAGCTAATGAACAAAGAGGAAAACAACAACTTAAAGCTAAACAAATGAAAGAACTTAACTAAAGTAAATACAATTTAGAGTTTAAATAAATCATAAACATCCCTCATCCTCCCCACACAAATAATGTACATAATACACATTACGAGCATACAGTAAACGTAC